GTTTTGAACAAGAGCTCAATGTCCAGAAAGAATTTCCTGACTGGTCGAATTATGTTGCCATGTTTGGCAAAAGAAGCGGCAGGTAAGGAAGAGGGTGCGAAATCTTCACAGCATGTCCAGGACAGGAGTGCCACTAGAATTTTCGAAACGAGTTCAGACTTCGTCCCGATGCTTGACATTTCACGATAATGAACATGAAAAAAGCAACTTGTAGGCCACACTTCATCTCTCCAAGATGCGCCACGCATTCTCCTAACATTCAAAAACGCAGAACCGTTTAGGATAATATTTGGCATGTATCATAGCTGGTTGACTCTCCCTAATGCCATATTCTCACGAACATCAACGAGATGAGACCATTATATCCTTCAAGGGGGTCCGAGTCTACGGGAGCTAGACTTCGCCACTCCTAAGCTTCAGTTACTGCAATGCGATAACAAAATTAAAGGAATTATGAACTTCATAATCTTTTCTGCGAAGAACCAGGTTACACTTCTGTGATAAAACGCAAATATGTTATGCATATCCCACGGAACTGCACAAAATTATGCAATTCTAGGACCAGTTGTTTGCTGCAGAAGCACAAAGGCAAACAATTGATTATTCGGGAGAGAACTGATTAGCTAAAGCCATCGATGCTCACAACAGACAAAGTGGCAGAATTGAATATTGAAACGGATCGTTTTGCGATAGAATACGTCATTGATCCCAGAAGATTGTGGCTACTTAGATTGCATGAGGGGTAACCAGGTCATACACTAATTGGTAATATGGATATCGCACTTTGTGTTGGGTGGACGGCGACGAGACGCTAAGGACTGGCACTTAGGCGAGGCCTTGAATCACGAAATTGCCGCATTTACGAGTTGCAGCGGGCGGCGACACTGCTGTGTCCACGCAAGGAACAATACGGCGAAGGCGCTGCACTGGAAACCAAATCGTACACATGGACTGATGCGGGCATCCGCTGGAGAAACACTTTCGAGGATTACGGGATGTACGGAAAGTAAGGGAGCCAAGAGAAAGGACAGGATTGGTATGAAGAACTACGGACAGATCAGTGCTGAAAGTGCAGGAAAAATGGTAACTGTCCTTATGATCGGCTCAAAACTCACTTCGGACTGAGCTGCGCCACGCATTCTACTTCAGTCAAAATCGTGGCGGCATTTGATTGCGAATCGGAGAGCGCAATAGCATGCGGGGACCAGCGAATATACAAGTCAGTGATTTTAGCCTTTCAGATAAGTTTACCACCAAGTAACGGAAGAATGGAAGCCTTGATTTGCTTGGGCCTGGAGGCTTGATTCCAGGTGTGACCTCTTGACCGTTCTCGTGGTGAATAGCTGCACTTGCCAGGACACCAACTCCGATTTCCATAGGACATAGGGAGCATGATATTAGGCTGTAGGAAAAGCCTTCCACCAATCACATCTTGCTAGAGATTGCGCTTTTGCGGAATCTTGAGCAGTTGTTTTCAGACATCCGTTGCAAAAGCTATGTGAAGGCTGGTCATTGGCCTCTTCAGACGACTATCCGCCACTGCATTTACAGTAATTGAAGCTGGAAAATCCTCCTTGACTGGAAGCATATTCGATTGCTCTTGCTTTTCGAACTCAGCGAGTGCGCTTAAAGCAGTTTTAGGACAGGGTGCCTGTGTGAAGTGCCATCAAGGTTTCTAAGACGGTCCCTCGACCAGCTGACGAAGAAATTCGAGACCCCTTTGCAAACAATCAAAGGAAGAATTATGAAGAACGAAGGTCAAAGAAGGGGAAAATTGCATAGTTGGGAGACAGGCGGACCTCCTGAGGGTGCTGACCGACGCGCAATTGGCAGCGAAAGATTTGACCTCGGCGATCTAGCATGGCTCACTCTTGGCGCGGTTGGCGGGGCACGCCCACCGACCATCTAATCACTCGCCGCGTATCTTAATTTACCAGTTTGGCTGCGCACGCATTCGCGTGCATGAGACGGGGCTCAGCGGTAAAATCGGGCCCATCAGTATTTTTGTCTTGATTTTAGCTTTCTGCTCGGTACATCTTACTTACGCCGCAAACTCCGCCCACATCCGGGTGTGCCACGCCCAGCGTTCACATTCAACCTCTACTCCTACTTTCACCTCTGGCGTATTTTTTTCAGGTCTCTAAGTCATCTCGGAGCCGAATTATGAGGTCTTGTAAATGGCGTTATGAGTCACGAATTTCTGAGGCAGACCCCGCCCACTTTGGTGCATGCTTAGCCCAACAATGGCATTCAACCCTACTCCATACCTCAATACTTATGCACATTTTCCCCGGTCGCCGGAACTTCTAGGAACCGAGTTATGAGAGCGGTGGCAAACTCCGCCCACATCCGGGTGTGCCACGCCCAGCGTTCACATTCAACCTCTACTCCTACTTTCACCTCTGGCGTATTTTTTTCAGGTCTCTAAGTCATCTCGGAGCCGAATTATGAGGTCTTGTAAATGGCGTTATGAGTCACGAATTTCTGAGGCAGACCCCGCCCACTTTGGTGCATGGTTAGCCCAACAATGGCATTCAACCCTACTCCATACCTCAATACTTATGCACATTTTCCCCGGTCGCCGGAACTTCTAGGAACCGAGTTATGAGGGCGGTGGCAAACTCCGCCCACTTCGGGGTGTGCCACGCCCAGCGTTCACATTCAACCTCTACTCCTACTTTCACCTCTGGCGTATTTTTTCAGGTCTCTAAGTCGTCTCGGAGCAGAATTATGAGGTCTTGTAGGGGACGAAATCGAGCTACGTATCTTTGTGGCAAACCCCGCCCACTTTGGTGCGTGGGTCGCCCACTGATATCAGTCGGCTATCATCTCTTCCCAACCTTTTTCTACTTTTCTCCCATCTCTGGAACTTATTGGAACCGAGTTATGAAGTACCGTGGCAAACCCCGCCCACTTTGGTGCATGCTCCGCCCGCCAACAACGGTTGACCCCTTTCCCTCTGCCAACCCTCATACGCTTTTTCCCGGACTCCGGGACTCCTAGGAACCGAGTTATAAGCCTAATTGCAAACTCCGCCCACTTTGATGTAAGCCACGCCCATCCCTGACATTTAGCTTCCCCTCCCCTCCTGACCTCTATCCGTTGTTTTCCGGTCTCTAAGTCATCTCGGAGCCGATTTATGAGCTCTTGTAGAAAATGCTGTCCGCTTCACGACACGCTCCGCCCATTGTGGGCGGGCCTCCGTTCACATCATGCGTGGTGGAAATACCTTAGGCATTGCTCCCCTGCACTAATTTCGTTTCTGGTCTGTAGGCTTCCTCTTAACCGAGTTATGAATATTTTCACTGAGCACCCATTTTCTAGAGAACGCCCCGCCCACCGAGGGTGGGTCTCCTCAGTTCAATCTGGCTTACCAACCCACACCTATGCCCACTTTTGTCCCGGTCTCGAGGCTGTTTTGTGACTGAATTTGAAATCATGGTCCTCAGTACCACTCATTTCGACGCACGCCACGCCCACTGTGGGCGGGGCTCCGCTTAGGTAATGTATGTTTTTTACTTCTCGAGATATGGTACACCCATCCCAAACATGAC